TTATTGGCATCATTTTGAAGCAGTTTTTTATTTTTGAAGATTTTATTTATTCACGAGAGACAGACAGAGAGAGAGAGAGAGAGAGAGAGAGAGAGAGAGAGAGAAAGGCACAGAGACAGGCAGAGGGAGAAGCAGGCTCCATGCAGGGAGCCTGACATGAGACTTGATCCCTGGTCTCCAAGATCACACGCTGCACTGAAGGCGCCGCTAAACCACTGAGCCACCAGGGCTGCCCTATTGGCATCATTTTGAAAGGATCACTTGGTATTAAGGACTGAAACTAAATGAGTTTCTGTTACTAGTATCTGTAATCTCTTTTGCCTTTAATTAATAATGAACCATGTTTGTTTAGGGAAGTGTTTGGTCCCAACAAGAAGAGGACGGGAAATTGGTTTTTGTCTTAATCAGACTATGTGTGAATGTGTTCTACTCCACAAAATTTCATACCTAAACTTTGTATCATGTTAATTCAAAGTATGTTTGACACAAAAAGTAGTCATTTAAAAAGTATAGTCTGTGTATCAGTGAAGGTACACACGTTTAGTATGACTTTGAAAAACAATTTTATCTTATAGCTTTATATTTATTTAATGATATTTAAAACATAACTAGTATATAATCATACTTTTGATTCCACTGACATTTTGGGGTAGGATTAGAATAAATCGAAAACTAATTCAATTTAAAGAAAAAAATAGGTGTATAACAGGCAGCACATGATTACAGAGGAGATGAAGCTGTCAAATGACTAATGTTTGAGAAATTCTGCTTCAAGACAGTTATAACTTACTGCTATACATTTCAAATACTTCTTATGCAATGTAGGGTGGGATTAATTTCTAGTAGAGGAAGGCCTATAATTTATTATGCAGGACAAGTGTACCAGGAATAAGATAATTACAGATTCTGTATCTTAAGAGTATATAAGTGGCATGTGTAAGATGTCATCTCCCAGACAATATTATAAGCACTTTATAATTATTATATAAAACATTCTACTCATATATATGGGGTTGCATGCTGTCATGTTTACCATTTTGTAAGAATTCTAAAAGTAAAAATCACTCCCTGTAGATCTTTTTACTTCCATTTACTCTTAAAATAAAAAGTGACAATATTGCTTTAAAAAATGTTTAAAAGACATCAGGCTTATCAGATGACTATGAAACCATATTTTGAAAACTTATGGACCAGGCACTGTTAAGTCATCTTGCTTTGTGGAGTGTGACATTTTTTTCTTCCTATTTTAATGACCTGTCTAGTCTTTATTACAATGCATAAGGGTTTATTTAGAATCAATATTTATTGCTATGTAATGTGGGAGATTTACATGGGTCCAAAAAATGAATCACTTCCTACAGAGGAAAATTTGGGGGTGTAGGAGAAGACAGATCTGAGAGAGCAGAAAGAAATCTGTGATATTTGGTGTCTCTTAAGAAGAAACACCAGTCTTTCTTTAGCATAAAAGCCTATTCTCATCCAAGCCAGGAAGTTTGAGCCCTCATCTGTGCTCCCTTGCAGGGATGGAGATTGACATCAAGCATACAGTAAGATGAATACTCAAATTCAGATTGTCAACTTCCAAACGGAATGTGATATATAGTTACAAGATCTAGAATTGATATTGCTAGAGATGATTTTATAGTAAATTTCTATATACAGCTATGTCACAGAAGCACAATCTATAAAAACTATAACACTATTCTCCTGTTTTTGTGTTATTCATACGGGACATATGACCATGCTCAATTTTTTTAACTGGTTTCCTTTGTGACAGCAGTCATTAACAGGGAATTAATATGATCATTTTCTCATGCATAAAATATCAGAAGACTGGATACCCCCAAGGACAAGAAAAAAAAACATTTTTAAGATATTCAATTTGTGTCTGGCATATAGTTATGTGGAAACATAACATCTTCATCTCCAGAAACTTTTTCCAGGGACATTTCATTATTATCCTGATTTGGACCTGCAAAAACTGAGGTCAGATATAAGAAGTAATATAGTGAATGACACACCAAAGTGACAAAATTAGGATTATATTTTGACTTGTGTGACATTTTGCATGACATCCCACACTAATTCATCAAAACCTATAATCTTACATATACTAACGTTTATTGAGTAATAAGAATTATAAGAAGGAATGATTTAAAGAAACAGGTTCAAAATAGATGATAAGAATTAATGCCAGGGACTATGTCAAAACACTCTAGAAATATAATCTTACATAATCCATAGATCAATTCTGTGAAAGAAGCATGGTTTTATTTTAAAAATAAAGTTTTTAATATAAAATTAGATTGCTTAGTTTGTAAATTACAAAACAATTTATAAGTTTTAATTCATGGCTGTTTTATATTCCATAAAAATAGCTTTGGTTGTATCTTAAACTTTATATATATATATATATATTTATAATATTATTAAAATTATGTGTATAATATCTATTAAATGAAAGGGCTAGGGATTTATGATTTTTAAAACAAATGTATCTTACGATGACTCCAAAATAATATGCCAATATTAAGCTGTCAGTTTAATGAATTTCTGGATAACATCAGTAAATCAATATTTTTTATGGAAAATCATAAATAATACTTAAGTTGCACTAACGTAAAGTGCCTAGAAATTTTTCAATACATGGGTAATTAAAAGTTAGTTAAAACTGAATTTTTTAATAATAAAATGAACAATGAATTGTTTTTCTGAAATAACAATTAATATTAAAATATTTTTAAAGCTCCTTTTCTTACATATTACACGTTTGAAATTTTCTGAAGTTTTAAAAATTATATATACTATTTTAAATGTAGATAGGATTCATTAAAGTGGATTAGATGAAATAGTCATGAGTTTAAAAGGACTCTGTATTTAAGTACCATATTTTTTGTTATCATTTCTGAAGGATGCTTTATTATGCACAGATCTTTTATGGTATCTAAATATGCCTCATTCAGTTTTCAGCAAAACTACAGATATGGAAAACAACTACCTGTGAGCCCATTTGAGGTGCCTTGTCCACTTAGCCAAGCCTCCCCAAATTCCTGATCCACAAAATCATGAGCAAAAGAAAAAGGTTGTTTTGTGCCACTATGTTTTGAGGTCATTTACCATGCAGTAAGAATACCAGAAGTTAAATTGCAACAATGCATGTACAGTGCTTTTTAAGATGTTATTAACATAAAGTTTGTCAGGCAGTGCACATTTCTCATGGACTCCTAACATTTATTCCATAGGAAGGGAGCTCTGCTAACATACGTACTGGACCTTCCAATTCCTTAATTACTCTCCCCCATGAGAACTAGGCAGACGTTTTATTGGTAAATATGGGGACATCATACTGAATATGCTTTTCCGAGATATTCTCTTTGTATTTTCAGAATGGACACAGGTTCTCCCTTGCTCTCACAGCCATGGTGGTAACCTTAGCAGTGACACCTAGTCTCCCACAGTGGAGGGCTACAAGGTTTAATGCTATTCAGGACTGTGCTGTGTAAGTCTATCTAATGCTCTAGTTTGGTATAAGACATTCACTTACCTGCAGATTTAAGCCACATGACATTTAATCCCCATTTATTTCTTTTGTTTTAGCTGGTGATTAAGAATTAGGCAAGGAAAGTGTATACTATTGATTGAGACCACATACTTTGAAAATCTACATTGATGAACATATTTGCTAAATACATTGTCATATTTCTGGGCGAAGTTGTAAGTTTGAGCCATATTGCACTGATGTTGTTTCACTGTCTATGATCTAAATAATTAGCAGTTTCATTAAACTTTGATAGTGTATGCATGATGGGAAGTTTTGATTTGTTTTGTTCAGTATTTCCCAAGCCCCTATCAGCTGCCAAGTAATCTGTTAAGAGCATATTTCTGTTGACAGGATTAGTTGTTAAATATCATTTGACTTAGAGAATTGTTTTTCAGGGTATGGCCTGAATTCAATCCATATGATACCAACCTTATAAGTTTATTAAATATGTACTTCTTGGTCCTGTGTTAGCATTACCAAATCAACCCTGGGAAATGGGATTCTAGAGAGTGCATTTTAACAGGCTCTCCAAATGATTCTTGTTGAAAATATAATCTCATGCTTTTCGTGACAAGAGATAGGACCTGAATATACTCTGTGATACTGTTTAATCAAATCTTAGGCACCAGACTTTATGGAGTCTATTAACAACTAGAATTTGTTCCAAATAACAGAAATAAGATAAAGTATGCTTTGAAAATTATGTAATATGGCAAAGTAATATAACAAAGAAAAAATAAAGTTTATTGAATATTTACAAAATATAAAGAGTTTGGTATACTCCTCATTTCTTGTTCTTTAAGGGAAGTATTACTATCCACATTTTAAAGATGAAGAAACTCATATTAATAATAGAGTTCAAATAATCTTGTCAAATGGCAGGGGTGAGATTCAAACGAGATATGTCTTATTTCAAAGCTTAGGTCAAACATTCAGTTTTTGAATTTTGGCTGCTGAAGAAGCTAGTAATGTTAGGAGAAAGGAGGCTTACCACGCAGAAAATAAGATATGAATCTTAAAATAACTTTGGAGAAATGTCAAGATAGAAAGTGAATAACCTACATTTCTTATATACTGGATAAAAGAAAAACCATTTGGAAAAACAAAAGGAAAAAACATTTGGAAAAACCAAAGAGTATATGGGTTCTAGAATTGTGGTAACAAATAACCCCCCCACCCCACCAAGAAAAGATGAATTATTTAATAGAGAAAGTTTTGTTCAAACAAAACCTGTTGATTATTGTTCATACCTACTAGAGAAGAAATTTCTGTGTGTTTTGGGTGGTTTGGAGTTTATAGTGTAGAAAAAAATATCATAGCCTTCTAGTTACTTGAAAACTTCATGATTAAAAAAAACTGAACATAATGTGTCTCTCATTTTTGGTATACACATAAGGAAACATCTATTAAATGGAGAGTGAACACTATCTTTAAGATGAGAACTTTTAGTTGCTGGCTTGTTCCCTTTGGCAGCACATATACTAAAATAGGAAAGATATAGAGATTAGCATGGCCCCTGTGTGAGGATGACATGCAAATTCGTCAAGTACTCCATATATTTTTAAATAACTTTACATCAAATCATTCATCAATAAACAGCTACTAATGAAAAAAAAAGATGAGAACTTTTAGAAATTTTACAGCAGACAAGAAAATAATGGAAGCATGAGGTAGGAATATGGACGTATAATTGATAAGGGCTTATAGACATGACAATCATTATTCTTGAGTGATCTTGTCTAAAGAAATGTACTGAATTGACAAACAATTACCTACAGTTCTATATATCTATTTATATATATATATATATATATATAATTTAAAATAGTTTTATGGAGGCACGCCTGGGTGGCTCAGTGGTTGAGTGCCTGCCTTTGGCTCAGGGCATGATCCTGGAGTGCCAGGATCGAGTCCCACGTTGGGCTCCTTGTGAGGAGCCTGCTTCTCTCTCTCCCTATGTCTCTGCCTTTCTCTCTGTGTCTCTCATAAATAAATACATAAAATCTTAGAAAAAATTAAATAGTTTTATGGAAACATACCTTTCAGATTTGGCAACTATGTCTTAATAATATCTGTGATTCTCTAACAAGAAAATGTTAAGGCAAACTCTATGGTTTCTCTGGATTGCCAGAAGATATTTTATAAATTTGATTTTCAATTTGTATATATAAAATACGAATACCAAAATAACATAACTATTACCAAAAAGGATTAACTCTTAAAAATGCCATTATGAGGAGGAAATGAGGCAAAGAAGTGTGATATATAGATATATATGAATACATGTCATGTATATCATATGTACGTATGATACATACATATGTACATATCACATATGTGAATGCAATTCTTGCAAAGAATAAACAGTAAATAGTCAGGGAGGTAGCTATTTTGTCAATTTATGGAGTTATCATATTGTTAAAAACTACATGATGAATTGGAGGGATAGAGAATGTCTTTTAGATAAATTGGTTTCAAATTTTTCTGCTATTAATGTTGGTAAGTCAAAGGTATTTATATTGTAGAAATCACTGTCCATCACAGATCTGAATTAAATAAATGAAAAGTTTAAAAGGGGTTCTCCTTAATATTAAGAAAAGAGATCTGTAATATTAATTTTATCCTTTTTACATGTGTGAAATGTCAGCTCATCATATCACGAATTCAATATCTTTTCCTTTCTGTTTCACTTTTGTCTATACTTTGGAGTTTTATATGAATAATGAAAAATAACAATAATAAAAAATCTATTAATTAATTTGTTAGAGATTTTAATGCATTCTCAGAACAGGTTGCCTATTACAGGGGAATGGCAATTGCCAAAATGCTGTATTTTGTTGTGTTTGGGCTTATTTCTCTTTATTAGATACTAAATTACATGAAAGCCAAAACCAATCTCCCACTGCATAACAACAATTCTAAAGAGTAAAGAGTTAATAATGAAGCAGAATCTGGTGAATTTGAATGGTTTTCATTTTCACAGCATGAAGTGGGTGAGCTAAAATTGTAATAACACAATTTATAGATTCAATGTATGCTAAAAGTCCATGTAAGCAAACAATAATATTAGCAACCTAAGATTTTTGTGGCTTAATGAAAACATCTTCAAATATCACACTTTCACTTTTTTCTCCTCCACTTAGTTTTAGGCTGACTGTGGTAGTTACCTTTTTAAACCATTTCTTGCATTCCTACAAGTTACTTAAGTTGGAGTCCACCATGAGATTTAATAATACACAAAACTCTGAAAATACAATGGCATTGAAAATCATTATATACTGAGTTCTTATTACCTTATCGCCTTCAGAAAATGTGATGCCATCTACTGCTCTCTTCCAAGTGATTTCTGGAATAGGCTCCCCTTCTGCTTCACATATAAGAGTGACTTGACCATTCTCATAGGTAGTCTCATTTTTAAGCTGTATTATGTGAGGCTGTACTGTAAAGAATACATACGTTATTCAATCTGTATGGAAGGGAAATACTTCCATTTAAGTCCATATTAGTATAGTATAGAATTTTTAAGTTTGTAGCGTTACAGCAGCATGCTTTGCTTGAATGAGATGCCAAGAGACTTGCAAAGTACAGGAGAAAAAGCTTTAGAAAATAATTCTCATTATCATAAAAATAATTTGAAGTGGCTTAGAAACAAACATGCAAATTATAATTCCTTTTGAAATTTTGCAATTTAAAAGACCTCTAGATATTTTTTCCTCTCTTAAACTACAAAAATAAAAATTTCCTCTTTTAAAGTCATATGGTACCTATGTTGAGGAGTATATATGTGTTTATGTGTGACATTTGCATATTTACTGATTATCTCTTAAATTTCTATCTCCTATTATGAGTTAGCCAATATTTTGCAAGAATATACATGTATCATTTCATGTAATTCTTAAAATAATTCTCTCCGGTAGCTGCAATGCTAAAATATATTTCAGATGAGAAAACACATTTAATTTTGGAAAAGTTAGTGACTATAAGTGACAGAGGAGAATTTGACTCAGACCTCCCTCTAGACACTATAATTTTAACCACTATGCTAGAATACTTACCAAAGACCTGGAGGAATGCCTGCTTTTCATCTTCTCCTGCTTTATTTGTGGCCCTGCAGACATAAGGACCCGCATCACTATTAATTATGTTCCTGACAGTGAGCTCTGTATGGCTTCCTTTCAATACGTACTTTTCATTTTCTTCAATGAACTTGCCATTCCTAAAGAAGAAAACAGAGGTTGATCTTCATAAATCTGACTTTGTAACTCAGGGGGAGATTGTATTCCATTTTTTGACCAGTAGTCGTCACCCATTTCATGGGTTTTGATAGACAAAGCTATATTCTAATCATTAAGTATACTCTGAATAGCCCAGTGAATCTCAATTATTAGATATTCAAATTATACTTGAAAATTGCTTTGAATTTAGAGACAAGAATAACATCTGAGCTATGCTGAAATCTTAACACTGACCTTAGGCAAAAAAGCACACTGGTTCAATTTTTACTTTGCTTACTAGCAAAAAAAATTTTTGTTTAATTGATCTTAACTCCCTATATACTTTTTATTTGGTAAGTCAACACATGCTTATTGACTAAGTTCCTAGGACACTTTAACAGAATTTTTATGGAAACATCCATTAAAGAAGTTTCAAAGTAAATGCAATTTAAATATGTTACAAATTTATATCGCAAATAAGTACCAGCGATGAGAGGGTAAGATGAAAAAATTATGTGCAAATGCAGTTAGAAAAATTATGTTGAATATTATTATTTAAATCATTTATGAGAAGAAACCACTTTTCTTATATATGTTCCCTCTTAGATACAATTAATTTTCAATATTTTCCAAGTTCTTTTCGAGTTGAAATAGTCTTCACTCTCTTCCAGTTCTAGTTTTTGTTACCTATTAAAACAATGTCTTTTGAACTTTGTATAATAACTTATAGTAAGAAATACTTTAAATATACTTACATCTTAAACTATTTCTACAATTCCCCTTCATATGTGTGAAACCTTCTTATACTGTACATTCTCTTCCATTCTAATTTATTCTCATTTCCTCTTCCTCCTCCTTTTCTTTCTCATTTAGTTTTCCCTCTATGTTTTTCTTATAATGGTATTTTGAAGAACTGAATTGATTGTAAGGTGCACTAATGTAAAACGTTAAGGATAGGTCCTATTTTGAAGAACTGAATTGATTGTAAGGCCCATTAATGTAAAACGTTAAGGATATGTCCTAAGGGGATGAGACATCTATTTGGCCATACAAGTTTAAATTAAAAAAAAAAATCCTGAAAGAATTATAACAAATATTTCCTAGAATGAAAGAGAATGTTTCTTCAATACACTAAATGATCTTTCCAGTGAATTCTAGTTTCACTTTCCAGAAAGCATTGGCACATATCCTAACATAATACTTCTCCTTTTATGACTCATTAACATCTGCTTTTCCATTTCTTATTGACATCTCTAAAGATATCATGAAATGTGCAAAAATTTCCTAAGAGCAGGGTTCAAGAGTAGAGTTTGTAAAATACTAATATGTATATATATCTTGCTTTGTTTTTTTTAATGTATATTGCTTTTGGTTTTTATTTATTTATTTATTCATGAGAGACACAGAGAGAGAGACAGAGGCAGAGACAGAGGCAGAGGGAGAAGCAGGCTGCATGCAGGGAGCCTGATGTGGGACTTGACCCCGGGGTTTCGGATCACACCCTAGGCCGAAGGCAGGCGCTAAACTGCTGAGCCACCCAGGGATTCTCCTGATTTGTATTTTTTTTATAGTTTATTCATATTTTTATTAGTCTAAATCTCATAACAACTAAAAATAATGTTTCAGTAATTTTGTCTAGAATATAATGTATAGTTAGAACTTTCACAGCAACTAGTAATACAATGTATTTCTTACTCTAGTCAATAGAAATTATTAATTTGTGGAACAAGAAGAACAATAATAATAATACACTAGAGGTTTAAGCAATTTATGCCTTATAAGACACTTTCCTTATGTATTCTACTGACTTCAAAACTCACAGTTAGCTCATTTGTTCATTTTCACTCCTACCTTCATTCACAGATTAGAGAACTAATTTTTTAAAAAAATTAATTATTTATTTATGATAGTCACAGAGAGAGAGAGAGAGAGAGAGAGAGAGAGAGAGAGAGAGAGAGAGAGGCAGAGACACAGGCAGAGGGAGAAGCAGGCTCCATGCACCGGGAGCCCGACGTGGGATTCCATCCCGGGTCTCCAGGATCGCGCCCTGGGCCAAAGGCAGGCGCTAAACCGCTGTGCCACCCAGGGATCCCCGAGAACTAAATTTTTAAGTATGATTTTCCCAATCCTGAAATCACAGATGAAGATACCTAGATTTACACAGTAATATAAGCAACAGATTAAATACATTCTAGTGTTCTTTCTGATAGAGTTATTTCCCCACCTCATTTGGAATATTGTGCTAAATGTCTGAAGTACAGCAAATGAGTGAGACATGGCTACCTATCATGAAGAATTCATAAGATTGGCAGTAACAGCAGTACCAAAGGATAAGGAAAATCCCATT